GTCTTGAGGTGAAATTATGACCTAGAAAAGTGATTTTTCATGCTCTGTTATATGTATGTGAAAGTATATTAACATATTATGTCACAAATATATGCGTTTCTTCCCAGGGGCCCACAGGTGAACGGGGCCCCCCTGGACTGGCTGGTGCCATTGGTCAGCCTGGTCGACCTGGAACCATCGGTGGCCCTGGACCAATGGGAGAGAAGGGAGAGCCAGTAAGACACGCCCCCACATGTGAAGATAAATGAATGACCAGTGAATTACCAGTGTGTGTGTAACTGTGTGTTTGTGTATTCAGGGAGATAAGGGTCTGATCGGACCCGCAGGACAGGATGGTGACCAGGGGCCCGTGGGATTACCAGGAGCCGCTGGACCTCCAGGACCCCCAGGAGAGGATGGAGACAAGGTGATGAGGGCATATGTTCATCTGTGAATAGTAGTGATGATGTTTGTCAACTATAAAGGACTTTTTGCCTTAAACAACAACTAAAAACAACCCAGAACACTCTGGCAACTACCCAGAAAACAAAAGTGATAATAACCACTCAGAAACCGCATATTAACTCCCTAGAAACACCCTAATAATAGCATTTCTCACAATTTTATAACGAAAATGACAAAATGTATTTATTGCTTGATAGTTAAAGTCCTCTGTGTGTGTGTGTGTGTGTGTGTGTGTGTGTGTGTGTGTGTGTGTGTGTGTGATAGGGAGAAACTGGCTCGCAGAGAGAGAAAGGGAGAACAGGAGAACAAACAGAAAGGCAGCAAAGGAGACAAAGGAGAATCAGTGAGTGACGGAAATAAAACACACATCACATTCACACGTCACAGTGTTACCAATGATTTAAATCTGCTCTCAGGGGCCTCCAGGACCAGTCGGCACTCAGGGGCCAGAGGGGCAGCCGGGAGTACCAGTGAGTGTTTGAGGAGCAACAGCATCTTCATGTTTTCACTGTGTGCAGAGAGTGTGTGTGCGATTGAATGTGTGTGTGTGTCAGGGTGTGGACGGTGAGTCCGGTCCTCCAGGACAGCAGGGCATGTACGGACAGAAGGGAGACGAGGGCCTCAGAGGATTCAAGGGCTCCAGGGGCCCCATTGGGCTACAGGTACCTAATCATCAACCATATCTCCTCTATTTCGATGAGAAAACATGAGCTGCAGATGTCAGTGTGACAGAGGCCCGTCATATAATGCAGATACGTGTGTGTGTGTGTGTGTGTGTGTGTGTAGGGGATGCCCGGTCCTCCAGGAGAGAAAGGAGAGAGCGGGAACTCTGGTCTACTGGTGAGCTCATCAATTCATCTGTCATTCATGATCATGTTTATTGATCTCTATGTAAATTCAATGTGTGTGGTGTGTGTTTGTGTGTTTTCAGGGTCCTCCTGGTCAGTTTGGGCCTAGAGGAGCTCAGGGACCCTCAGGTGGACAGGTAAACACACTCACCCCCATCATTTTCTAAACTAGTTCTATAAAAAAAAAATTTCGCATTTATTTATTAAACATTTTTTAAAACATATTTGTCTTTCAGGGTCCTCCTGGCCGTCCTGGAGTACGCGGTCAGCCTGGTGGAGTTGGTGAGAAGGTAAATCATCCAGATGTTCCTGCTGGTGATCACCTGATCTGATGAAACACACACATCATGTTATATCTGATTATGATTG